GCCCCGGGTGGGCCGAGCGGAGGGGACGCTGGAGGACGGTGCCTGCCCGGAGGCATCGAGCGCAGGGCCCGTCTGCCCCAAGGACGGGCTGTTCTGCCCCCTTGAACCCGCCTGACCCTGCGGCAGGTGCCTGGTGAAGAGCAGCAGGAAATCCAGCTTCGTCCCGCGGCCGCATGGGAAGAGGATTTAGTGTCCGAGCTTGGAAACCCTTCTGCATCCTGACCTAAGGCATTCCTCAGGCGTGAGCTATGCTGCTTGAGAGACAGCTCCTACCTCCGTCCAACCGAGTGGCAGCTCAGTGCCGAAGTATTTCCAGCAGGGTCGTTTCCACCTCCCCAGTTTTTTACTGTTCCCCTTTAGGCTTTTCTCCCCAGACAGTAACTGAGACATTCTAAAAATACTGTTCTCTTAATTAAATTTCAGCCTCAGGCCAACAGCTAATTGATGGTTCTGAAAGTTTTGTTCAACATACATGGGATTCAATTAAAACCCAGCTCTCTTTTCCCCTTTCTGCCCTTATCTGCCAACTACTGCATGACCCTTTGTTATTTCTCGTGGAGTAATTGGCAGATAAATTCCTCCAGCACCACGAGATCTCCGGCAAACGCACCAGAGCGTTAAACTCTGGCTCAGGAGTGAGTCCCTGCGCCTCCTCCCCACGTTGATGCCGACATATCAGGAGGCTTTGAGAGCACTTTAGGAGGAGGCCGTGGCGGAAGGTCAGCATGCCGCTTGCTAAGGAGATGCTGGTTGAGAGGCCAGGCAGCTGTGTGCTGTCAGGGAATAAATCAGCAGCAGAAAGGAATCGAAAGAAATAGCTCTGCTGCTGGAGGCTTTGGCCGATGGCTCCCAGAGGGCTCCCCGGCACAGGGGGTTTAGAGGCAGGCAGCCGAAGCCCGAGCCCTGTCACACCGCTCGATAGTTTTATACCACCAGCAGCAGTTTCATGTCAGCGAAGCTGCAGATCTGCGACGGTGGATTGGCGTTGCAGGAGTCGGGGACAGGATCCCAGCTGGGATTTTCTAGATTCTGTTGACAGCTGGACTGATTTCTATCCACAGCCAAAGTCATCAGTTCAACTGGGTTCTCCTGCGTATCGTTACTATAATGTAACATAGACTTTTAAACAGTAGAGATACATGTGGATTTGAGTTGGAAAGAAATAAAGGTCTCCCCTTCCTTCACCCTATGCCAAAAGGCACTTGGTTTACTTTATGCGTCTGCACAGCACTGCTTGCTGGTTCTGCTTCGCTTCCTCTTTAAGCCGGGATCCATCTTTCCAAGTTGCTTCTGTAGGCCCAAGAGAGAACAAAGTATTTGCAGCCAGCACTGAAGCTAGGTAGGAGCCTAAGGCCAGCCGCCGCAGGGCAGGGGGCTCAGCTCAAGTGTTACTTGCTCCACGCAAGTATATGAAAGTAATTTCCAAGAAGAAAAATGGGAAAAGAGGAAGATGAAAATCAGAAGTTGAGACGCTAGACTGAAAAGCGATGGAGAGAAAAACCTAGACTCTCGAGCAGCCTCACAGAGCCCTGGCACCACCGAAGCTGTTTAGAAACTTCTAACCGTGTTGTTCTGCCTTGGTGTTCAAGGAAGACATAGACTTTAGTGCTTTATTTCCTCAAAAAATCCGAGTTTAGACAAAAGGAAGTGATCAAAGAAAATTATAAAGCTCAGCCTCCTCCACGTCCACTGCCAGATCTTCAGCCTCTCCGAGCCCAGCTCCCCGGCTCTCTGGCAGGGTGGAGCTGATGAGTCTCACACCATGGAGACCACAATGATGCACAGGCCCAGACTGGAGGAGCTGGGGCTCCTAGATGGCTTCTTTCAGCTGCAATCCTGGAGCTCAGGGCTCATTTGCTCACGCTGACAAATGCCTTCATTTCCCAGCGTTGATGTGTCAGTAATCAGTACAAGATCTCAGATATGTAATGCAGAGACAAGCTCGATTATCTCCAGAGAATATGGCTGTGGTGTCACCTTTACTGATATTGGATCGGTGTGGCTGCAGGTCCCTTGGTATAAAGTGGACGTGGATCAGGCAGGAGCAGGTGATGGCATTTCTGCTGACTCAGCCAAAATGCACCTTGTGGTATTTAGCCCTGGGTGCACAGCATCCTCGCCACTAGCCTCCTGCCCTGCTGTGTCTCTGCCCACTTCTTGCCTATTTCTGGCCCAGAGCAACCTTTTGGCAACTCTGTCCCAGCCTAGTGATCCCATGAGTGGGCGTGGGAAGGAAGGGAGGTGTGGGAAGGAAAGGCTGCACAGGTGAGTAACCCCATGTGAAAGAGGGGAAGAAAGTATGGTGATCCCACCAACCCAGCTGCTGTAGCTTCCTCTGATGTCCAGGTTCTGAGTAAAAACCATGATCCCTTACAACAAATGAAATAGCCCACTCCAAACTTGAGCTCAGAGGACCAAGTGTCCTGAAAACCCCCAGCATTCCTGTACAGACTGAAGCTGCGTTTTACCCTGAGCGTTTATTTACTGTCGTCAGTGTAAGCGTAGGCTGCAAGTGTATAAATATGCCACCAAATAAACAGAGGCTCTCTTACTCCTGAATAATTTACCACACTAAAGTTGCTCCTCCATTTGATCTAATTGTTAGTTCCTTAATTAAAGCTCATTATTTCTAATGCACTATTTCAGTGCTTCTTGACCCAGTAAAATGCCATCTGCCTTCTTTCATTACACAGCAAACAAGTCTCCTGGTAGGAAAAGGGGTGCTCGCTCAGCGCCGTTGCGTGGCTGTCGGTTCCTACCGAGCCCCGAGCTAGGAATTCATGAGCAACGCAGGGAGGGCGAGGATGGACGAGGGAACGGCTCAGGGCAAGGAGCTAGAGAGGGTGTGAGCGAGGTTTATGGACATGGAAAACTACAGGTTTGCTAAAATTTGCAGCGTTCCCAACACAGGAGACACCACGGCCACCGTGTGCTGCCCATACTTACCCGAAACTGCTGGAACCTGATCGCTTCCCGGACGCGCTGCTGGCCAGCTTTCGTGGGGAGAGCTGGGAGCGCGTCCTCTGGAGGGGACGCGGGGCTGAGGCTTCTGCCTGAGGCAGCATGAAGAGCGCGTGAGGGCCCCCCGCTGCCGCTTGAGCAGCTTTGCAGTTGTTTAAGTAATCACAAACCAACTTCTCCAATCCTTATTCCCGTCTAGCCCTGGTGGAGAAGAGCCCTAGGCTGGCTGCAGAGCGGCAGATCGGTCGCGACGAGGCCGGGCTGCTGTGTCGGCCCCGCTGGTGGCTGCGGGGACGGCCGCTCTGCCCGGGTTTCCTTTTGTCTCTAGATGATTTGAGTAATAACTCACTGCGCATATGGTGAAAGTCTTTTA